CAGCCACAGGTGCCCAGGGAAGGAGGGAATTCCGGCCACAGGCGCCCAGGGAAGGAGGGAATTCCGGCCACAGGCGCCCAGGGAAGGAGGGAATTCTGGCCACAGGCACCCAGGCTCGGGTGAAATCCTGATCCTGCAGCTCCTGGAGGCCCCTGGGAGGTTTTACTGTGGGTCGAGGTATCCTGGTCTCATCCCAGAATCCTCCCATGGGACACTCGCTCCCGGCTCAAAGGACAGCCAAGATCAGCTTGTTCTGTTTGAATCCCAAAATCCTTGGATGTTTCCAGAGGACGGGCTGTGTTTGTCTCTCCTTCACGCCTTGCAGGGGGAATTAACGCCCAGCTCACGGAAGGGAGGGGAGCAGAGAGGATTTAAATCCTCCATAATCTCATTTTTGGGTCAAAATCGCTCGTTTGAAGTGCAGGAGAACGAGCCAGGCGGGCTCCAGAGTTCCCTTGGGAAGAGCTGGATCCAAGTTTTCACCCGTGAGGAGCCCCGACGTCCCACTTGGAGACACGTGCGGATGGAAAACACAAGGTAGCAGCTTTATTTTGGGTCAGGGAAACAATAAAAAACACCCCACGGACAAAAAAGCAGCGTGAAAACCACCTCAAAGAACTTTTGGCACCGGCTCAGTGGCAGCAGAGGTGGGAATGGATTCCAGGGAGGTGGGAATGGCCCAGCCCTGGATCCCAGGGAGGTGGGAATTGCTCCGGTGGTCTCTCCTCCCTCTGGGTTTGTCGGTGACAGGACAAGGGGAAACAGCCTCAGGCTGTGCCAGGGGAGGCTCAGGGTGGCCACGAGGAGGAATTTCTTGCTGGAAAGGGTGGACTCGGTGGCCTTGGAGGTTTTTTTCCAACCTCAGTGATCCTGGGGTTCTGGAATTCTCCTGGTTCCTCTCTGCCCTCCCAGGTCTCTCTTTCCAGCTCTTTTCTTTCCCTCAGATCCCTCTGGCTCTCATGACCTCACAGCTCTGCTCTCAGCCCCTTCCTGCTGGTCTGGCTGGAGGTTTTCTGGTGGGAAGGGAGAGTTTGGCTCCAGCCACGGTGACATCCCCCGGGATCGTCCCCTTCCCTCCCCTCTGGGATGGAGGTGTGGGGGTCCCTCAGCCAGGGAACGCTCTGGCACCAAGCCATGGCAGTGGAGGATTTCCCTCCCCATCCTAAACGTGACCAGGCTGCTCCCAGCAGGAAAAAGGGGAGGGAAGGAACATCCCCCAAATCCTACCTGTGTCCGTGGCCTCGGCCGCAGACAGACGGAACATCCTCCAGCCTGGGGGAGAAGGGACACAGGGAACTGTGAGCAGCGGCCCCAAATCGGCCCCTGGGTGCTGTGCCCTCCCCTCTCCTGCTCGCCAGGGCTCCAGGGAAGGTTTTCCGAAGGAGATTCAGCTCACCTCTGGATCTGCAGTAGAACACGGCGACTAAAAGCACCGCGACCCCGGTCACCGCCAGGGCACCGGCGACGATCGCGGTCCGAGGGG